GAGTTTCTTATTGATAATATTCTTCATATTTCTCTAACAAACATATCTCTTACGTCCTTTAACACGATTATTATTTATTAAATTAGCTTTGCGAATCGCTCGTTGAATTGTGTTCGGACGCGGAATTATTTAAATTAAAATTTAATAAATTAACATTTACGAACTTTGTTAATCTTCACCTTGCATAAAAATTTTATATGATCACATGAGGTGTCATGCACACCAGAAAATTAAAACGGCTGTCATACTTATCATTTCGGGTCCGAAAAATTAGTAAATATTCTTCAGATATTCTGAAATAAGGATGAACAGCGTTTTTCTTAAAATTATCACTGCCACGTGGTAAAAAAAATATCGAAAGTTCATGCTCCGTGACTTGTTCATTGATTTGAACATGGCACCAGAGTCCCCCTTCAGCTGTCAAAATCAGTGGTAGGAGCACATGGCACTCGATTGATTGACCATGTTGTGTTTCGCGCCATTGTGTCTCATTGATCGGTGTTTTTCATTAATAACTCGTAAACAAAGCTGTAGATTGCATTTTCGCAAAGGGAAAAGTTACTTAGAATGATCTCAGCTACCCCACATTTCCGTAATGCAAGACATTTTTGAGACACCCTGTATATCTGTAGCAGCTACTTCATCGTAGAGCAATGTTTATATGAATTTGTCTGTACACAGAAACCGCTATCAATATTGGCTATTCCTGCCAGTTGTTGACAGACGACCTTACAGATGTCTTTATAGTGGATGCTACTACTTACGACGGTGTTGAAAATCAATTGTCACGATACTTGGAAACAATCAAAACAACTTCCAGTCATCAAAATCGGCCGACACTCTCCGTTGTCACATTCAGGTGGGACAAGGAAAGGTCAGGCACATGAAAGAGACGGAGTACAACCATTAACCTTCTCCATACCTATTTCTGACTAATTAACGCATTTATTTTTTGAAGTTTCTCTCTCGTATTGAATGTGGCATCATGTTCTGTGTAACGCTTTCTTTGTCTGGTTATGCCTTCGAATCAAATCGTTCAGACTTAGTTTCTTTATTTCGTTGACATCATATAGTACTGAGAAGTCTAAAATTCTAAATACCTGAGATGTATGATATGATGAAACTTCTCTAGTTAGTCATGAACTTTTCTAATAACGTTTCTACTGTGAAACGTTAAGCGTTTACGATATTATTTGGCATGCATTTCACGAGACTGTAAGGATATTGATGAATTCTATCGAACCTTGTTTTCATTTAATTTGATTTGCTATGCATACAATGATACCACAGATTTAAAATTCAGTTTTTCTTCAAGTTTTCCGAGATTCAAAAAAAGCATATACTTGCATGCTAAATTCGAAATACGTTTATTTACACATATGGAAATGTTGAAGTTTCACCAAATATTCTCCATTCTATGATAATCGAAAGCCGTTCGAACCATTTACCACATGCTTGTCAATTATTCTTTTTATACTGTAGATACTTCAGTATTAGTAGATTAGGTATCTAGTCCTTTCTTTCTTAAATACTATAATCTTTCATTTTGTACATTCTCAATACCCCTACGATTTTGTTTTTAACATTTATAGCCCAAACAAATAATGACAATTACCATGTGCTTGATACTCACTCCTTCTCTTTCTGTATGCTTAAAGTTAATCATAGTAATAATGATAATAACACGAAGAGTATGGTGCTTATGTCACATTACTATATATACATACATATATTGTATATTAGTAGTCCATGATACAGTGCACTGTGTGTATTGTTTACGATTAATGCGCATCATTTTTTATATCCAACGAAGCAATTCAAGTTCCCCTTTTTCTTATGCAAGTAAAATTTGAATATTTTACCACATGTATCGTATTTGACAACAGTTATTGCATATTCAATTCACTTTGTAAAAAGGAAATCGAGATTAAACTTTGTCAGATTGAAACATTATGGACATAGAACAGTCATTTACTTTTTTTTATGTTTTCCGTATATAGCAGCGACACTGAATACAATCCTAGCAGAGACGAGCAAGATGAACACGAGATGGAACAGGCCACAGGATTCGCTGTAGTTATCAATGGGCATTCCTTAGTTCATGCATTGCATCCACAACTGGAACAACTTTTTCTTGATGTATCAAGCCAATGTGAGCGATTGAAAAATATTTATATACCAATTTAGAATGTAGACACTTTTCATATCATAAAATTTCAGGTAAAGCTGTGATATGTTGTCGCGTGACACCCCTACAAAAAGCAATGGTCGTCGAGTTAATCAAGAAAAATAAAAATGCAGTGACCTTGGCTATTGGGGACGGTGCTAATGACGTCTCAATGATCAAAACAGCTCACATTGGCGTTGGCATCAGTGGTCAAGAAGGACTGCAAGCTGTGTTGGCATCCGACTATTCGATAGGACAATTCAGATTTCTGGAAAGACTGCTCCTCGTTCATGGTAGATGGTCATATTATAGAATGAGCAAATTTCTTAGGTATTTTTTTTACAAGAACTTCGCGTTTACGCTATGCCACATATGGTTTGCCTTTTTCTGCGGATTCAGCGCACAGGTATGATCTTCTTTTTTTATTAACCAGTTATTTATTTATTTATTTGTAGTTGCTCCCTTTATCAATACTGTATATCATAATGATAAAATGATGAATGTAAGGCGAATGTGATTTACGAAATTCCTTTGTAGAGCAGTTCGTTCCAAAGTCGAATATTGTAGTATGAATTCTTTCTTTATACTGATTTTTAACATCCTTTAAACTTGATTTACAGATCACGTTATTGTAGATTCTCATACACTTTTCTTCCTTTACAGACTGTATTCGATCCTATGTACATTTCTGTGTATAATCTCTTTTATACATCATTACCTGTAATGGCAGTCGGTATATTCGATCAAGATGTTAACGACAAAAACAGTTTGTTATATCCGAAACTCTATGCACCCGGACTACAAAACTTGCTATTCAACAAGAAGGAATTTTGTTGGAGTGCCATACACGGTTTTTTTGCCAGTTGTGTGTTATTTTTGGTTCCATATGGTATGTTCCAATCATTTGTTTAATTGGCCTTCTATTTGACCTCAAAGTCAGTCATGCGAAGTAATCAAATATTATAATGTTCAGGAACGTATAAGGATGGAGTATCACCAAAGGGCTATGTACTTTCTGATCATATGCTGCTAGGAAGTGTCGTAGCCACTATATTAGTCATAGTCGTGACCGTTCAAATAGCTCTTGATACATCATACTGGACGATTGTTAATCATATTATGGTTTGGGGCTCCCTTGTTTGGTATTTTATTTTAGACTATTTCTATAACTTCGTCATTGGCGGTAGTTACGTTGGCAGTCTTACTATGGTATGTAAACGTGTACGTAAACCCTTAACACGTGGATTGTGGTGTTAACATCTATGTTAGTTTACTTATTGCAATTGTAATTGTAGAGAACAGTTCTTACAACAAATTATCAAAATGGATTAGGTAGCATATAGAGTGAGCATAGTTTACAGAGGGTCAACACTACACTCAACGTGTTAATTCCTTTATACGTTATTCTTAGTTTCTAATAAGCGGTGGGTAACATCCCTCTCGAATCAGCAATGTTTACGTTGTTGCTCTCCTTCGTAAATATTATGCTAACACTTGTATGTCTATTTTCAGGCAATGTCTGAACCAACGTTTTGGTTCACAGCGGTGATTTCGTGTATTATACTGGTAATACCTGTGCTGTCGTGGAGATTCTTCTTCATAGATGTTAGACCAAGTTTGTCTGATAGGGTTAGGCTTAAGCAGAGGCTGGCACAGCTACGTTCCCGCCAGAGTCAGGACATACTCCGTACACCATCTACGAGGCGAACAAGGCGATCTCTTCGTTCAGGATACGCATTTGCGCATCAAGAAGGTTTCGGCAGACTTATCACGTCTGGGAAGATTATGCGAAAATTACCGAACGGTTCGGATTTTAAGTTTGCCATGCCGTTCACGAACAATACCAGCAAACAAGTTAGTGTTGCCACCACGTCACCAAAAGACAATGCATCCAAAAATTCGCACACACTGGATACTATTAATCTATAATCTGGACATATTAAGTTATAGGTCTTTCCACCATCTGTTGTGCTCCGGACGAATCGGTTCGGTAAACCACATAGCAATTATACAACAGAGTTATTGAATCTTTTTGCAAACGAATTTCTCTGTTTCGATCAAAACGGTTCTCCTTTGTCTGATTAAGCAATTAATTCGTTTTACGTGTAATCCGTTCTCACAGTATACACACAATACGCGAACTTCGTGTACTTGTGTTGCAGTAAGTGATAAACTATTCGTCGGCTTACTCAGGCTCGGTCGTTTTCATGTTGATGCTTGCAAGAGTTTCAGTAATCGAATTTGATAGGACAATAAAGTATTAATGATTTGCGTAAGAAATTCTACACACCTAGTAACTACGAAAGATTACTATTTTTTTTTTTTATCTCACCAAGGATTGTCATTGGTTGAAGACCATTTGAATGAAATACATTTCTATGGAATTTGTTAGTATTCTAGACCCTTTATGTTACCTGTTTATGTGACAGTAAGCCAGCAACATTAGTTTTTAATTAATTTGTAATGGAAAATTTGCGCCATATAAGAAAAGAGTCTAGGATGAAAACGACCTGAAATTTGAAGAAATTATTGAGTTGCTAGCAGTAACCTCTGACAGACTCTCAAACAGAGCACACGAAGAAGAATACACAGGCTGATTTATGATTATACATTTTTACTTCGAACATGAAAATTACAACATTATCGAAAGCTATAGCAGGAAATTAATTTTATAAAAGAGTTTTCTTCACAGAAAATTACTATTTCTAAATTTACACAAAAAGTTCTCAACATCCTTAATTATTTATTTTGGATACTTTTTTCTGCCGACATTCTTTTCTTCTCTTTCACTTATTTCCGAAACTATTTGTATGAAGCATCCTTTCCGGATGGCGGTCAGTAGGATCAATAATTTGAAAAATACCCCGTACACTTTCTTTCTTCTATCGTATTTTGTTACATTCCTGAAGCACAACTTTTTTTAGAATCCCATTTGTTTCAATACTAGTCAATTCTTTCCTTATTACAATCATGTGCTCCAATTTATTTACTATTAAATACGCAATAGAAATGTCATCATCAATTGACTGCAGTAAAATTATCCGCAATAAGTTATATCAGCCATTATTTTAGTTAATCGATTACTACTACGCTATCGAAGTAACACCTGCACGGCGATGAACCGACCTCGAATATTGTAATGTATAGCTGTGTATACACACCCATCGCAAAATCAAAAAGTCGCGGATTTCTGTGTTTCTTTTTTTTTTGAATGTTTGTATAACCATGGAATGTCGTTCCATATATGAGCTAATTTTCTGTTTATGCGAATATATGATACCAATTTAAAAAAAATACAAGTGACATTAAAACATAACGCAATAATAAGACAAAACATAATTTGTATGATCATGACACTCCCTGTGTACATATATGTAGAGGTGTCAAAAAAATTCAAGTAATATTCCTACATGTATTATAAACTGTCCTATTATGAACATGAT